CAGCGCCGCCGCCAGCAGCAGCAGCAGCAGCACTCAGACATTTTGATGGGAGTAGAAAGCATCCTCTTTCGCTCTTGGAGTGGCCAGTGGTTTCAAACAGGCGACTGCAGTTAGCAGCTCCATGCGTAACCCAGACACCACTACTCGGTAGAGCGCAGCTATTTCTGGGTCCGAAACCTTTGTCCTTATCATGCTCTTGTGTTTTCTTATTTTGTTCCGCATTCCTTTTTGAATAAACAGCACAAGGCCATACACGTTCAACCCTGTTTTTAATGCATTCTTCTTGGATCTAGTTTTTACTTTAAAAATTATTTTGTCATAAGAATGTATAACAATCTCTTATATGCATTCTAGTAAAAAAATCGTGAGAAGTTTCTATGAAGCAGAAAATGTAATCCTCCCTTCTTGCCTGTCTCATTTCCCAGAGGTAAACATTATTAGTTTATTAAAATAAAATGAAAAATGCACTGCCATCACATCTATTCTGAAGCCAGGTAACTCTATAGGTCAAGGTAGAGCTGCTCCTGGGGCTTTCTGACACTATGACTATAGGATTAGAAAGCCTCATCTTTCTCCCTCAGAGCAGTTGGTGCTTTTGAACTGCTGACCTTGTAGTTAGCAGACTAATGTGGAACCACTGTACCACAGGGCTCCTCTTCAATAGTTTATAGTGTGTAATAAATAATCTGAGCAGTGTAAAAAGTTTTATTTAAACTTTAACAGAGGGTGGTTCCTCCCCGCCCATAGAGTAAAACCAGTATGTTACTACTATATACACGCTTTTCTATAGTAATAAAAACATACATGACAAAATGAGATGACATCCTAAATTTATTGCTCTGCCATCCTTTTTTTCACTTAATAACTTATCGTGAACATGTTTTCACAGCAGCACATCTTGATCTACCTCTTTTCCCCCCTTAACCTCACCACCATAATAATAATGCTACTTAGGTCTTTCTTCTAAAGAAGGGGAAAGAAGATTATGAAGCTCAAAACTCAGAACAGCTTTCCTGACTGGGAAGGCATCTATCTTTAGCCACAACTACATCCTCCCTGAGGATAGCTGGCTAACCACAAGGCTGGTGGTTCAAACCCACCAACCAGAGAAAGATGAGATTGTCTGCTCCTAACAGCCTGGAAAACCCTCTAAAGCAGTGGTTCTCAACCTGTGGGTCATGACCTCCTTTGGGGGAGGGGGTCAAATGACCCTTTCATGGGAGTCATCCAATTTATAACAGTAGCAAAATGACAGTGATGAAGTAGCAACTAAAATAATTTTATGGTTGAGGGTCACCACAACAGGAGGAACTGTATTAAAGGATGGCGACATTCGGAAGGTTGAGAATCACTGCTCTTTAGGGTCATGAAGGCAGTGAGTTTGCCTTTGGGTTTGACCTGGGACATATGTCCTCCCCTCCCCACCCAGGTATTTGGTCCCAGCTTCCATACACAAACTCCTAGGGGTCACCTGGAATATCCATACAGGCTCATCTCATGGGTGGACAAAACGTTTCTTGGATTCATTCCTAGGATTTAGAAACAGCATAATGGAAAACTGGCCACTTTCCAAAGAGGTGTTTTCTCTTTTGGGGGTGGAGGTGGGAGTAGGTGGGGGAGGGGGGGAACTCAACTTTTACATTTAAGCATTTTAATTAAAAATTTTAAAAAGCACATTGCCATGACAAGATATGAAAAGTCACAATGGGTTCTGATTTCTGAGAAGCTGAGGTTAGAAGATTCTCCCCCAGGGGCTCACAGTAGTCCACAGAGACTGAATTCAGGCCAGAGACTTGATTGTAATTGTGGTAGAAATTTCTGGGCTCCAACATCTTTCCACCGATCATACTGTTGCACAACTAATAATTATTGCAAAGAACAATGGGAGAGCAGGTTAAGTAACCTTTGGTGCTTGTAACCCAAATTATAACTGTGATTGTACAGCTTTTTGTTCTTCAGCCAGGAGGAGGGGCAGACAAAGACTTAAGGATGGCTTTCTATTGCAGTTGTACAAAGTAGAGGGCACCTTCGTGGGGCTGAAGAGAAGGCAATTCCACTTACAGGGACTTTAGAACCATATTGTATTTAAACCAGTTGCCACGGAGTCGATTCTGATTCCTGGAGACACCGTGCATGGCAGGGCAGGCCTGCATGCCAGGGGAGGTTTCAGGGGCTGTGTGGTCTTGTCTGTCATTCAAAAGCACCCACCCCTTTACAGGAGAAAGACGAGGCTGTCCACTCCCTTCAAGAGTTTCAGCCTTGGAAACGCACAGGAGCAGTTCCACTCTGTCCTATAGGGTTTCTGTGAGCTGGAATGAACTCGATGGTAGCGAGCAAGTCTTTAGAAAGTAGATTACCAGGAACTCTTGGGTGTATTTAACCTGCCACCTTTGTTGAGCGCTTAATCATTTGTGTCAGCCTTCTCTCTCTCTGCTGTGTGCCATTGAATTAATCTTCAATTTATAGTGACGAGTATTACTGTCACATTAGGTTTTCCAGCTGCAATCCTGCTTGCTTTCTGCTTTTATGCTATGTGTGTGTTTCAAGAAGCAATGCCGTGAAATCCACAAGAGCAGGGCTAGGACAGGCCGGCTGTGTTTCTGCAGGTCTTGCAGGTTTGTCAGGAGGCACGCCCCACTGCTCTGATGTTGGTGGGGGCTGCTCAGTGGGTCTGACTCACAGCAACCTGACGCACAACAAGAGGAAACACCGCCAGGTCCCGTGCACCCTCAACAGGGTGCTTAGGTTTGAGCCCAGGGTTGCAGCCACTGTGCCGATCCCTCCTCCTCAAAAGGAATGCCCCACAGCCAAGCCGGAGGAATACCGAGGTCATTGGTGGAGGAGAACTCTTCCCAATCATGCTCCGTGTTTTCTCTTCTTCACTGTCCCTCCACTCTACCAAGCCTTGTGTCCTTCTCCAGGGACTGGGCTCTCCTGGCAATGTGTCCAAAGTACGTGAGTCTCAGCATCCTCACCTCCAAGGAGCACTCTGGCTGTACGTCTTCCAAGACAGGTTTATTTTCTTCTTTTGGCCATCCATGGGACTTTGGGAACATTGAGTTTTCTTTCTCTGATGGGTTTCTGCTCTACTTAGGTTTCAACTTTTGCAGATAGGACAGTACATTGATATGGTTAAAGTGTGTGTATTTGTGTGTGTGTGTGTGTGTGTGTGTGTGCATGTAACAGACAAACCCAGAGACTCTCAAAATCAATGTCCCACGGCCAAGCTGGGTGAACAGAGAGGTCTTCGGTGGAGGAGAACTCTTCTCCGTCAACACAGTGTTTCTCGGGTGGGCGTGACTTCGGATATGCCCATCACGCCAGACGCTGGCCTTCCTCAGGCGGGCACCTGTGACGCTGTAGCAGCAGCACACAGGAGGGGCAGAGCTGAAATCCCAGTCATTCTCAGATTTTGAATTCTCACCCACAGCGACCTCCTAGGGCAGAGTACAATGGCTCCCTAGGATGTCTGAGGCTGTAAGTCTTTACAGGAGGAGAAAGTGGCTCTTTCTCCCAGGGAGCAGCTGGTGTACTTGAACTGCTAACCTGGCAGTTAGTAGCCCGACACATAACCCACTCTGCCACCAGGGCCCCTGTACAAGGACAGTAGTCCTGGTTCAAGAAAACAAGGAACCTTTGTCCCAGTTGATAGACCAGACGCAGGACCATAGGATTCCCTTCTTTGTTTGTTTTTTAGTCACCTGCTTCTTCCAACAAATCTCTGGGTCCTCTGTTTCATTCCCACGGTGAACTCGTCTTCGGGGTTCGGAGAACAAACCAAACCCCCTGCCATCAAGTCAATTCACAGCTTAAGGGACAGTCGAACTGCTCCCTAGGGGTTCTGAGGCAGTCAATATTTAAGGAAGCCGACTGCCTCATCTTTCCCCAGAGGAGTTGGTGGGTTTAAATTTAGCAGCACAACGCTTAATGCACTGTACCACCAGGGCTCCTCCTGAGAAGAGGACACAAAATCTGCAAGGTCTGGTCGGGTGATCACCCCAGAAGCCAGAAGTATTGTTCCGAAACCTTCATCTTGATCTCACTTGCTTCCATCAGACCATTGCAATTCATAGCGACTGTGTATGACAGTAACTGCCCCTGTGGGCTGCCAAGACCGTAGCCCTTGACACCAGTAGGAAGCTTCATCTTTCTCCACTGAGTGAAAGGTGGTCTCAAACTGCTGACCTGGGGGTTAGCAGTCAGACTCATCACCCACTACACCACCAATGTGCCTTTATATGTCATAAAACTCAAAACCAAACTCACTGCCATCGAGCCAATTCTGACTCTAGGGGGCAAGGACAAGGTAGACCTTGTGAGTTTCCAAGACTGCAACTCTACAGGAGTAGCAAGCCCCATCTTGCTGGTGGCTTTGAACTGCTGACCTTGCAGTTAGGAGCCTAACACCATGTCAGCAGGGCTCCTATGATCGGTGTTGTTGTTATTAGATGCTGTTAGGTGGGTTCTGACTCACAGGCATCTCATGCACAAGAGAATTACACACCACCTGGTCCTGCGCCACCCTCACAATTGTTCCTGGGCTTGAGCCCATGGTGGCGGCCGCAGTGTCCATCCATCTCCCTGGGGGCCTTTCTCTCATGGCCGCTCCGCTACATTACCAAGCATGCTGGCCTTCTCCAGGGGCTGCCCTCTCCTGACAACACGCGCCAAATGGGCCAGACGAAGTCTCACCACCCTTGCTTCCAAGGAGCACTCTGGGCGTCCTTCCTCCGGGACCGACCAGTCGGTCCTTTCATCAGTCTGAGGTGCTTCCCATAGTCTCCTCCAGCACCACAGCTCACGTGCATCGATTCTTCTTCGAGCTTCTTTGTTCAATGTCCCACTTACCTGGGATAGGCTGCGTTAATTACAAATGTGTTTGCCAAGTACCAATCATGGCTTGGTGACCTTTCACAGGGATGCTGCATAAAGGATGCTGCCATCTTAAAAACAATCCACCCTGCTAGAAAGCCCTCTGGGGCGAACCTAGATGGGATTTCTGCTAAAGGTTCCTTAGGGAACAATAGGTAACGGAGAGCTGGCAGGGCCTGGGGATCCCATGCCATGTTGCCAACGGGATGGGTTTGCTGTCTGCCTAAGATGTTCTCTGCTTCCACAGAAAGAAAACTTCCGGTGAGAAGAGCAGAAGTGCCCCCACCTGCAAAAATCCCCAGAGAAAGACAGCTCTGATGTAACATTGTGTATAACACCTCCCTGCAACCCCTACATGCCCGGCTGGGCTGTAATCTTTATGGGAGCAGATCGCCAGGTCTAATTTAGTAGCCAAGTGCTTAATCCTTGCGCCACTAGGGCCTTGTGTACAGTCCAAGAACTAGTGCAAAAGAGCAAAAGAGCCTTGTTGCATCTCCACCATCCATCATGTTCCCAACGTGGAAGACATGTTAGGAACTGGTCTTTGCCCCTTGCTGAGAAAAACAGAAGCATCTATGAAAAAGGAGAATTGCCAGGAAGGCAAGTTGTGTCTCAAATTCTTCAACCGTTTCTGAAAAAAAAAAAAAAAAGATGTGTTCTTCTGTCGTGTCTCAGAGACCAGAGCTGCATCCCTGCCAAGGGCCTGGCTCCAAGGCACTTCTAGTGGGAAGTTCGGGACTTACCAGCTGCGTTGTGCTGGTGGTACTGGATCAGTTCAGGGATTGATTGAAAGAGGTGTCTTTCTGCCACGTAGTACTGTCCTAAGTCATTCTCTTTAATCTGATAATGCTTGATGGTATCCTCAGTACTTCTAGAATCAATAAAATGTGAATCCGCAGATAAGCAAAAGCTCACAGAGGAACTAAGTCAATTAAGCAACACAACTCCACCCCCAAAACTACCCACTGGAGGGCACATTGGCTAAAACAGGAGTCTCGTCCTCAGGAAAATCCCTCAAGGATCTCATCGGGACTTCGGAGTCCAACATAACCTCTGGCAAAGTTGCCTAGATGGAAAATCCAGTGAGGAACAGTAGCACTCACACTGGATCCTTGAAAGCATACATTCTGACGTCTACTTTCTAATCCAATATAAATCAGCAAGTCAAGGGTAAGGGAAGGAATGATTGCTCTGTAGGAGACTAAAGACACAAATGAAGGAAGGTTGGAAAACGTATGTAGGGTGTATTAGTAACCGCTGCCCCTCGGTCGTTTGATCATTCTGTGATGACTTGAAGGAGCCCTGGTGGTGTAGTGGTTACCTACTGGGCTGCTAACAGCAAGGTCAGCAGTTCAAAATCACCATCTACTCCTCAGGAGAAAGATGGAGCTTTCTAGTCCTGTCAAGAGCTGCCTTTTCAGAAACTCACAGGGGCAACTGTACCCTGCCCTACAGAGTCCCTATGAGTCGGGACTGACTCAATAGCAGTGGGTGAGCAACTGAGTGGGGGAGCGAGTGAGTGAGCAAGCGAGTGAGTACGTGTGAGTTGCTGCAATACTGCAGTCGATGGCACTGCTATTTCACATACTATGAGCAGGGTCACTCACTGATGTTTTATAGGGTTGAGTGGAGCATCCAGACTATGAAAGAATAGGAAGAAAGACATGGTGACCTACCTCTGAAAACGAGTCAGTAAAAACCCTGTGAATCACAACAGAATATAGTAACCGATAACGAGCCCCTTAGACTGGAAGGCTCTCACAATGCACAGTGTCTGCATGTACTTTGGATGTGAGCACACCAACGATCATGGGGACGCGCAGCACCAGGCCGCATCTTCGTCTGTTTCTACATAAGGTTGTCATGAGTCGGAACCAACAAAATGCCAACTACCAGCAGTAAGCACCCTGAGGACACGTGAGCCTCAGACCTCTAGGAACCTTTGAGGGGCTCAGAACCCTCTCACGGGAGCAGGAGGAAGGTGTTCACTCAGTGCTCACTGAGTGGGTCGCTCCTGGGTTGCCAACACTCCAGCTACTCTCTCCCCGCCTTGAGCCTGTGAGCTCCCGTACCCAGAGCATGCTCATGTGAAAAAGCCTAGGACAGAGACACCAGCAGCTGCTGCCACAATCTAAGCCCTCACTGGGTGTATCAGAGGCGGGAGGGGAGGCAAAGGACATCTAAGAAATATATCCAATGTCGCAGAACTGCTCTTGTTGGTGGTCCTGTGTCCTGGGCCAATTTCTCCCTGGGCTGGCTCTTGCTATGCACTCCAAGTGATGGAATCTCCCTGAGAAAGGCTGAAATCTCCCTAGAAATCATTATTTTTAAAGTCGCCAAAAATCATAATTTCTTACCTTCTCGCTCTTATGAACACCGAAAGGGTGTAAGATCCGACATGTCTTGAATCTCTGACGATAAATGCACCTTCTTTAGACTGTGGAAGAATCCATTCATCAGACAAGTTTATTCTTTCTTAGAAAGGCTAGTCAACTCAACAATGGAAAACAAAGCTACAATGACTTACTAGAGAACACTACAATTGTTTTCATACATACACACCATCTTTTCTCTTTTATGGGGTTAGAAGTCATGCCGACATAAGAATGTATAGTATCTGAGTATTTACAATCTCTGCCCCTAATGTTTCTTTAAATATTTTGGACTTGACACACTTGTGTCCTCCTAGTTGGTTATTTTAAAATTATTATTCATTATTGTTATTTTTACATGTAAGTAAAAAATATTGCTACAAAGCCATAGAAAGCTTTATTAAACAAAAATGTCAAAATGTTCACTTACTGTTACTCAACACAGCTTCCATCTAGCTCTTGACACTTCTGAAGGCGGAATTTCTATTTCTCTAACCCGTCCCTGAAGAATTCTGCGCTCTCTGATTTGCACTATGTCAAAACAGCAGTTTTGACATCCTTTATGGGATTAAACTGATTCTTTCAGATGTTCTTTGAGTTTGGGGCACAAAAAGAATTCGGAAGGTGCAAGATCAGGACTGTAGGGTGACTGGGGTCAGGTATCCTAGCAAAATTCTCATAACACACTCTCCGTGCTATCTTTGATGAATGAGTGGGTGCATTGTGGTGAGGGAACAGATTCTCAGCACACTTCTCCGGGTCTTTTTCTCACCAATGCAGTTTTCAATTTTTGTAAGACTTCTTAATAAGCTCATGTGATCATCTTATTTGCTTTGAGAACATTTATCAAGATCACCCCTTTGGAAGCCCCACAAAAGTCAGGCTAGCCTTCTGAACGGACCTTCCTGCTTTGATCATCCCTGGCCTTGTCGACGGCACTTGGACTGGACTGTTGTGAAGGCACTCACAGCACCGAGACCATGTCTGACGGAGGGAATGGCTGTGCCGACATCTGCTGGTCACAGAGACGTGTGCAAACACCTTTTCTTTGGACTAAACCCGTGTGTGTGAACTGGGACCTCAGTGGCAATAGATTTTGACTCGGCCTTGTGCGGTGAACCCCTCTAATGAGCTCCACAGTGGAAAGAGAACAAATAACATTCACTGGGCACACAGCAATAAAGCTAGTCACCGAGGGCAAACTCCACAAGCGTACATTTTACCCCATCCTTTTAGTTAACTCTAGGACATTCAAATAAGAACTGGAATTATCTAGAACACAATAAGAAACCACTATACATCAGAAGGAGCTCTAGTGGCATAGTATACACATTTGACCGCTCGCTACAAGGTCAGCAATTGGAAACCAATAGCCACTGCATGGGAGAAAGACGAGGCTTTCTGCTCCCATAAAGAGTTACAGTCTTGGAAACTCACAGAGGCAGTTCTACTCTCTCCTATAGGGTTGCTATGAGATTCCTCGACTCGATGACAATGAGTTTGGCTTTGGCTTATACATCAGGACCTCTCCTATCAGTAGAGTAGTCCTCAGAAGTAATGTCAGTATCGTGACTAGTATTAAAAAGTATTAAAAAGCAAAAGGGAACAAAAACAAGAGCATCCAACTCAAGATGGTAAAATAAGAGTTTTGAAATAAGCTTAAGTAGAACAAATTAATACACTAAAAAAGAAAGTAATAAATTAGAGATTATAAAAAATATATAAGACAACCAGTAATAGAATGAAAAATCTGGTTGCTCAGGGAAAAACTAGTGAATATATTAACTATTATTTCACTTAAAAAATAAAAGGGAATGTTGTGTGTTTTGTTGGTGCTATACTGCACCCTGACTGGCTTGTCCCTCCCTTGTGAACCTTCTGTGCAGGGATGCCCAATTGTCTACAAATGGACTTTGGGTCTCCACTTTGACCCCTCTTGTTTACATCAATATGATTGTTTGCTTGGGGTTTTCTGATGCCTGATACCTGATCCCATTCACACCTTGTGATCATACAGGCTAGTATGTTTCTTCCATATGGACTTTGCTGCTTCCCTGCTAGTTGGCCGCATGTTTAACCTCAAGCCTTTAAGATCCCAGATGCTATATCTTCTAATAGCTGGGCACCATCAGTTTTCTTCACCACATTTACTTAGGCACCCCATTTTGTCTTCAGCGATTGTGTTGAGAAGGTGAGCATCACAGAATGCCAGGTTATTAGAACAAAGTGTTCTTGCATTGAGGGAAGACTGCTACCTTGATAATTAACATATAAATATATGTACATAGACCTATATCCTTATTGTTATATATTAATATAGTTATATATATAAATACCTATATTTATACCTCTCTAAATGTCTTTTGCCTCCTACTTCTTTCCTCTATTTCCTTTTACTTTTCTCCTGTTCCACTATCATGTTTGACCTTCAGTTCTCTAGTTCTTTAATGCTTCCTCCCTACCACTATCATGACCCCAGTCCTGCTTTACAAATCCGGCTAGATCAGAGCATGTACACTGGTACAGATAAGACCTCTCAATACACGGAATCTGGGACAGACACCCTTCAGGAACAATAATGGTAGTAACAATATTGTGATGGTAGGAGAAGGTGGGGGTAGGCAGGGGGAATGGTCAAAATGATCGACATATAACCACCCCTGAGAGGGACTAACAAGAGAAATGCAGGTGAAAGGAGACAGCCACTGGTATAAGAAATGGAAATAATAATAATAATTTATCAAAGGTTCATGGAGGTGGGAGAGTGGGATAGGGAGGGAAAAAGAGGAGCTGATATCAAGGGCTCAAGTAGAGAGAAAATGTTTTGGAAATGATCATGGCAACATATGTACAAGTGTGCTTGATACAATCGATGTATGGATTGTTATAAGAGCTATAAGAGCCCCCAATAAAATGATTTATATTAAAAAAAGAAATAAAAGGGAACATTCATTAAAAATGACTTATTAGAGAAAAAAGAGCCAGGAAAAATCAATCCTTTTGACTATACAAATATATTTGAAAAGTTGAGCAAAATGGATAATTGATTAAGGAAGCATAAATTTCATCAAAATTGATTCAAAAAGTGCTAGAAATCTTAATGTAGCTATTGAACGGAAAAGTGGATGGGACTTTTTTTAAAAGCTACTTTCACACTATGATTCTAAGTCTTAAAAGAAATACTAGATCTGGATTGATTAAATATTCCTGAGCAAGTAAAGAAAATTTTCTGAATTTTTACATAAAATGAGCTTATACCACACACACCAATCAGATGAATCAAATATCTAAATGGGAAAGCATATTTTTAAAACATTTATATGAAAATACAGAATGCAAAAATATTTATAAAAATCAGAAAATGGAATATTATATTTATAACAAAAAACTGGCAAAGGATTGATATTCAGAATGCATTTTTAAATGTATACAAATACATTTTTAAAGCAATCACTTTATTTTTATAAGTGAGCAAAAGAAAACTAACTCGCATGTTCCAATTGGCTGATGGACACATAAAAAGATGCCAAATCTCACTGGTAATTAAGGAAATGTACATTTAAAAAACTAAGTACCATTTCTCAACAATTAAATTGAAAAAGAAAAAAATGTGTAATCGGCAACTATTGGCAAGAAGGAGGGTAGCCAGCTTATCTTGTTCCGGTGAGAATGTGAATTAGTGCCATCTCCTTGAGTCGTGCTTTGGAACTGTATGTTGGCGATGTTGTTAGATGCCAAGAGTCGGCTTGACTCATCGTGTCCCCACATACAGTGGAAAGAAGCACTGCCTGGGCCGGGGCCATCCTCATAATTGGTTCTATAAGAATCCACAGTAAAGTCAAAGTCTTGGATGTTCCAAACCATTTAGCGCTCACTTGCTAACTCAGAGGTGGGAGCTGGGAGTCTGCTCAGAGGTGCTTAGAAGACAGACCTGGAGCACTCTTTATGGAAACGCAGCCACTGAAAAACCTGTACAGCACAGTTCTACTCTCCCGCACAGGGTCGCCAGCACCTGGGACTCATAGTAGTGCTACACAGACCAAATATTCCTCCTCCAGGACTTAACCCACAGAAACCCTTACACACGAAGGTGCACAAGACCATATTTACAAGACAGTCGACTGCAGGTCCCTTTGCATTAGTAACAAGCTAGAAACAATTTGAATGATTGGCAAGAAGTATGTGGATACAATTATACATAGTCATACAATGAAATACTGCAAACCATTAAATAGGATGTATTTGATCTATACCTAGCCATCTGAGTGAATTTCAAAAATACATTGTTCAGCTCAGCATTGTAAAACACATGAAGAAATGCTATAGATAGTTTATAAAACAAACAAGCAAATAAACTTACTGACAGTGAGTTAGTTCTGGGTATGAATGACCCTATAGGGCAGGGTAGAACTGGCACTCTGGGTTTCTGAAACGGTAACTCTTTATGGGAATAGAAACCCTCATCTCCCCCAACCCTGCCCTGCCCCCCGCCCAAGCTGCTGGTGGTTTCAAACTGCTAACCTCGTGGTTAGCAGTCCAACCCACAACCCAATATGCCACCAGGACTCCTATAGATGATTTATGGACATACATATATAATAAAAGTAAAATCACACACATAAAATGGAAACAATACCTTCAAATTGTGATTCCCTCTGAGGAGGGGGTGACAAATAAGATAAAGAGGTGAACTTGAACTATAGATTACAGATAACTGTAGTGTTTAACTTCTTTTTAAAAGTATGATTGCCAAAAAGCACTGGGGAACTGCAGTAGAACAGCAAGGGAATGGAGCAGCAAGGGAATGGAGCAGCAAGGTCCCCAGGGAATGCTGAAGGTGGACTTTGGGGCCAGGACGTGGTGCCCCAACAGACTGGACTGGAAAACACTCCTAAAGGCCAATGATCCTTGAACTAACTACAAGCTTTTCTTTCTTGTTGTGTTTTA